TTATGGTATCCCGGGCTGACTGATCATTCGGTCTTATCACCACTTGCGGATGACACACGGACACTGGCTGAAGTTGGTCCAGCACCTGCCAGTCACACAGGACTGGACTGTGAAATCTTAAATAATCCGTAAAATAAAAATAGCACCAGAGTATGTAAATATTAAAGGATTGTCGAAGAACAAAGAAGAATGAAAATTTTTTCTGCCACCAAATAAGTTACGCTAGTTTTGTTTAATTCAGATTCCCAACATTATTTGGAAATGTACAATTTATAACAGCTCGCTGTGGCTCCCCTAAATTCTTGCCGTGGCTCCCTTGGAGGCCCATGACCCTCGGGTTGAGAACCACTGGAGTTGACTGTGGAGGCTTGAGTCGCTTGACGCTGCTCACCCATGTTCTCCTCGAATCTGGCAACCGCACATGACGACTTACCGGGAGCACTGAGTACAGTAGCAGTGAAGGATTCATTACCTTCAGACACTTTCTATAAAGGAAGAGAGAAATATCTGGAGGTGTACTTGTTCCACACGGATATCTTATCTAATATACTATAGGACTATCCGTCCGTCCGTCTGTCTGTCTGTCTGCCTGTCTGTGTGTCTGTTCTGGGCAGCCGAAACGGCACAATCGTTTTTCATCAAACTTGGTGGAAAAATCGCAAAAAAAATCGTAGAGTGGAACAAACCTGTTCCCATGTCGATGGTTTCTTTAGGAAGCCATTAATTAACCATTTTATTTATGCTGGAAAACGATGCAAGTCTACGGACTTGGCGCACCCTCATTCGCTGTCAGCCCACGATTGCAGTTATCATTCGGCTCCCTCCTCCTCCCCCCACTTTTTTTCTTAGCTTACTTTTTTTTTAATGTTTGAATTAGTAAAGGAAGGAAGATGAGTAAATAGAAGAATAAAGAAGGGGAAACAGAAAATAGTTAGAGATAACAGGTGGGGGGGAGCCAAGTTTCATCGTGTGTCTGGATGCGCAGTTTTAACGTTACCAGACCATTTTCGGACCTTACAGCTACAGTGTATACAGTATACTTATTCCTGTGGCTAACTGTCATGGAAAAGGAGAAGAGAGAAAAAGATAATAACAGGAATGCATGGAGAAGATAAAAAGGGAGAAGACAAGGAGAAGAAGAGAGACTGAAGCATTATTATCCTTAAGAGGCGAGGAAAGGAGATGGGAGAGAGGGACAGTGAGAGGTAGAGGTATGAATGGAGGGATGGAAGGACAGAATAAGAATGGTATAGAAGGATAGTAGAGAAGGAGACTAGAGAAGGAGACAAAGGAAGGACAGCGATAAGTAAAACAAAAATCAGAAGTATTTGGATGATAACATGTAGAAATTAGTCGGTTAAATGTAGGTAAAAAGAGTAAGAATAATGAGATAAAACATAAAGAAGAAAGAGACAATTATTATAACAACCATGACCATGATTATAACAACCACGACCATGATTGTAACAACCACGACCATGATTATAACACCCACGACCATGATTATAACAACCACGACCATGATTATCTCATATACTATAGGAATAGCCGTGTGTCTGTGTGTGTCTGTTCTGGGCAACCGAAACGGCACAATCGTTTATCATCAAACTTGGTGGAAAAATGGCAAAAAAATTGTAGTGGAACAAACCTGATCCCATGTAGATGGTTTCTTTAGGAAGGCATTAAATAACCATTTTATTTACGATGGAAAACGATGCAGGTCTACGGACTTGGGGCACCCTCATTCGCTATACGCTAGCCAAGCACGAGCGTTCAAACTTTCACTGGGCACGAACGTGCCTGCGATCACTTGTATTTACTAGTTGTTGTAGGTAACATGTGGACCCGTACACACCAGCTGCCAGAACCTCAATTATCAAAAACATGTCCCTCCCCTTTATCGTGCCCCGGTGCCCTGCACCCCTCCAACCCTCGGTGCCCTCTACCCCCCGGTGCCCTCCAACCCTTGGTGCCCTCCACCCCCCTGGTGCCCTCCAACCCTTGGTGCCCTCCACCCCCGTGGTGCCCTCCACTTTGATGCTTAATTCCATTGATAGGTCATCTTTGTAGGCCATATCTGATAAATTTTTGTCACACCTGAATATATCCACCATCTTTATGGAATGAACAGTCGAATCATTCACTTTGAATGCTTGACCAACCGCTGACACAATCATGCCAGTAGCAATTTTATCAAACACTTCAATTTTCTGTGTCAGTCATGACTTTCTTTACTCTCTTGCACCAGATGCACTACCACCAGTTAATGGCCTTTTGGGAGCCATGACAGTTATAATTAATGTTAGAATTGTTCTCAGACAGGACTGGTGGGAGATCACTGCTGCGCAGGATGCAGCAGAACGCCATGACTTCACATCATGGTGGACGCCCGTGGTTTTTTAAATAGTTATCTTGCTTTTTTATGCTATTTTAATTGATAAAAACCTCTAAGGCTCGAACTCGCTTATGTTGAGGTACTCGTGTATCAAGGGAAATGATTGCAGCATTCTTGATCTTGGTGATATGCACTGCTCTTTGGGTGATCATAAAACATATTTTCAGGCTGATAGAATAAAGTAAGCAAGACAGAAATACAATATGTTTTAGTCAGTCATGTAATAACTCTTGAGCATCTACAAGGGGGATGCCATGACGATTTTTATCCAGGATTTACTGTATAATTGCCAGCCTCTCTCTCTCTCCCCCTGTGTGCAAACTATCATGCTGTGACATGCACAGTACTGCTGGCACCAGTGTGGTATCTTTACTTTCTTAATTTAAGTTTTTCCTAAATATAAAGATATTTTCTTCTGTACCTGTACCTATTTTTCTTTAGGTCATCCATGGTGACGACCTAAACCACATAACTAAGGTTCGTATTTTATATCCTTCTTATACGATGAGTACTGTATTGTACAGCCTAACCCTAAAATGTTATATTGATAATTTGAGGGTCATTGTATATACCACGTCACCTTATGGTAAATTAAACAAAAGTCAAATTTGAGTTTGCTTTTTTGCACTGTCTGACTCCCTCATTAAACACTGCAGTCTTGGGAGAATGTCCAAATATGGACCTTTGGATAATTCAACATGGGTTGTTGTTGAATTAGAGGGGTTCAAACGCACTTTCTTATTTTACAGGAATCATCAACTGCTATACTTATGGGATATTTCTTTGGGAAACATAGACTCAGAAGATATTACAGAAAATTTTATTCCTAAGCTACAATACAACATACAACGTATAATAACCAGCTATTTATTCAGTACAACATAACTTTACGAACTGTGAAGATGGCCTCGTTGTCTGAGCCGGCAATAAGGGTAGTGCCCTCCACGTCGATGGAGTTGATGGGCAGCGGTGACTGTGGAATCACGCACGTTGTATCAATGGCTCCTCTAGCCACATCACTACTTAACCACACAGTGACACTGCCTCCTGTAAACATAATGCCGATTAAATTGATAACCGCAATACTGTACAACTCGACCATTACAAAGTATGATTTCTAAATACAAGTAAGACCTTATTCCTAAGTAAAGCTCCTCTAATATCTATCTGTATGGAAAGCAAATGAAAACATATTAAACTTAGCAAAAACTTCAAGAAAAATACTTGAAATGTACAGAAAAAGAAAAATGAGATACTTTGTCCATATAATTAGGGATGGGGGAATATTAATGGGCAAAGTTGATGGTCAAGGCAAGACAGAGACATTGAGATGCATGACTGGAATTAAAAACTGGATCCCCAGAGATAAAAAAAACCTTAGATGATTGGTGAAAACATTTAGAGTGGAGGACTGTGGTCGTCAACCCTCACACATGAGGACGATATTATCCATCCTTGTATTGTACAAAATGTTTCCTACCATAAATAATAGCGGCATAAACAATTATTTATATTCTGCTACATTTTGCATCATTCTTATATACTTCTGTTACCTTTGGTCCTATCTTCATTACTTCCACTAATATACACACACAATACTCTACAAGAACACACACATAATCTTCAACTATTACAAGTACATTAGAACCTCTAAACACCGGACTTCAATAAACCAGAATTCACTTTTTTCGGACTCTCTGGGGTGCTCCAGACCTCCCTTCCATTCACCAGCAATATTAGCAGTACAGTACTTACATTTAACACTATACAGTAATTAACAGTCATATCTATAAAAAGTGTTATTGACAGCTAGTCATATGTCTGATTTTCCTGCAACAGTCTAGATAAGCAGGGTTATGTTCCCTCCCCCAGATGTGCTTTTTTCGGACTTTCGCTTTTACGGGACAGAAGTCTGCCCCAATTAGTCCAGTGTAACGAGGTACTACTGCATCTTAATGACCGAGTAAAGGATCAAAGGTTAGAAAAAATAGTTAACTTTAGTTGAAAATGCCACAATTGGCCTCTAGATATAACTTTGCATGAACTGATGTATAGGTCCCATAATCTTGCATGCTAATAGACTGAATTGTTAGTAATGTTACCTGGAAATAACTTAAATCATGCAAATGTAATATAAATGCCCTAAAACTGTTTATCTATCTCACCTGGCAGTTCTCGGGTACTCTTAAATGAGGACATGTGTGTAGGCCGTGCAGAAGCTGAAGCATCCCAGTGAAGCAGCTGGCCATCTAGACCACAAGTAAACAGGTGTTCTGGTGCTCCCGGGTGGAACTTTACTTCACTAACTGTAAAATGCACACCTTATACACAACAATTCAGGGACCAATAAATGAGGACCATGTAAAGTTTTTCTAATTTTCTGTGGGTCTAAAAAATATCTGGGAGCTCAGCCAACTCCATTAAAATATCTATTCCCTTAAAGGCTGACACCAAGATGCTCAATAAGGTTAGTGAAATATTCAAGAGAATTAAATTTATATATTGACATTTTTATGCAAATACTAGAGGGTTAAATTACATAAGCGTATATAAACCCAAGTTTTATAACTTCATAAATTGGCTAAGTAACTTTCTATTCACAGATGCAAAAATTTAATTGAAATCAGTTTCCTACTGTGTACAGACACTTACTTGGTCCGTTGTGAGCAGATATAATGGAGAAGGGCTGGCCAGTGTTACGCATGTCCCATATGGCAAGGGCTCCATCCTCCCCTCCTGCAGCCACCAGGTGTTGCTGGGTGGGATGGCCAGCAAGGTGACATACAGCTATCTGCCAAACACATCAAATTAATGTTACCTCATACTGTACTAAATAAAAGTGTACTGTAGTATATGTTTAAAGTGGAGCTAAGGTAGTAGTATAAACATACAATCATCAGAGAAATGAGGTTCAAGGATAGCTTAACAAAAATAAATACACTAATGACATTCAACAAGGAACTGGTGTTACACTTGAATCAATTCCTGTAAATATATTCAAGATGGCACTACCAAGAATCACCTGGTCAGGACTGAGGAGTGTGGCCTTGGCTGGCTGAGAAGCTCGAAGATCCCACAACTTAAGGTGTCCCTGCATGTTGGCCGTCACAACCTCACTGGCACGCACATAAACCACTGCATAAACACTGCACCCGCCCACACTCTCTGACAATGAGAGTATGTATGATGATATAACTACTTAACTGCCTGTGCTCCTAATTCAAGGGACATGAATTCTATGTTATAACCCAAGAATAAGTTAAGCTCTTCTCATATGTGGACAGCCACCCTATCAATCTGTGGGAGCTAAACACAACTTAGTGTGTTAACACATTAGTTTCTAAACATCAGACAAGTCAAGGAAGCTAAAAATAAAAAATAAATCATGAGTTTATTGAGACACTAAATCATTGGCTGTAAAACTATGGGTCGCCAAGCTTTTCAAATGGGGCATGAGATGCCGAGCTGTTCAATCAGGTCACAAGACCGTTATGGTAATCAAACTGCAAAAGAGGCTGTAGATAAGAGTTTATACACTTCCGCTAGCAGTAAATATTTTCGCCCACGACGGCAGCGTAATACTGCACTACAATATGCCTTATATAAAAAATAGAATCACACAGTACATGATACTAATAAAGAACTGTACAGTACTACTTTATAAGTTTTATATTGATAAGAATTGATGGTTTACCAAAAACATATTGATACAGTGTTTATTTACAATATAAAAGAAAACCAAGACTCAAGGATTACAGTTGATGTGAACTATGAGGAGAGCTTACACACCTATGGTTCTATTAGTAGCTTTCTGGTTGGGATTAATGATGACTAGTTTTCCATCTTCACCAACTGAAGCAATCTGGTCTCCATTGGTGGCTAGAGCAGTACACGGGGCAGCTCCTGTCAACATATCAAGAGTACTTCACCACACCTGACAGATACAATACTTACAGCTATAACAATTTCAAAACAACAATCTTTCACACACACACACACACGGTTTAAATATACAGTGTATCAGTACCAGTACTACAGAAAATAATAAAATATGTAACAATATTGATAGCAATAAAAAAATATATTTACAGCCTTTAAGATAATCTTATACAGTACAGTACTGTAGAGTGATATCCCCATTAGCTAGAATAATTGATGAGCTTTTCCAGGAATAAGAGACTTCCGAGTACTGCACAATGCAATATTGAGATTAATTTTTCATCCCCCCAAAAAATCCCACAATTCTTCCAGGTACCTATACCTGTACTACAGAAAGTTTTCTGAGTCTAAACTACGTGCCTCATGGACAGACACAGAGCTGTATTTATTTATGTAAACATCACTGTACATGTACAGTACAATATAGTACAGTATAAATAAACAAAATGTACAGTTGCCAGCAAAAGTTCTCTCACAGCCCTGTGTAACATGTTCGTAAATGTGCTGTGGGAGGACTTTTGCTGGCAACTGTACCTGTACAGTAAACTTCAATAAATCAGACTTCAGTGTACTGTACTGCATCAGAATCCACTTTTTTTCAGACTCTGAAATGTTCTGGACCGCTCCTATATTCACCAGAAATAAATTTTAAAAAGTCTTGAAAATCCAGCATCAGTCTGGAGGGTTTGTGTATTTTTACATGAGGTTGAATGTCTTTGCATGGGTGTCGTGCGGCATGTGTCTCGCTGTCACCAGTGAGTTATTACAGTTACTAGGCTTGCAAATATTTTTCGAAGGAGAATATCAAGGTACTGCAACAGAATATCCTACGACATAATAACAGCTTGAGTTAAATTGCACATCTTTCATCACAAGCATACTGTATACAGGTAGGTCAGGCCAACTTTTGTGGGTACAGCGTATGACTGAGGGATTGGGAAAATTATGTGTATGATAAAAATATTGCTTTACACAAATTCATTTGTCAATATTATCATTGTGAACAAATAAACTCTACACCTCAAGAAATAAAAACTGGTTTGTAAACATTAAGTGTGCCTTCTTATACATTAGAGAGAGAAAAATTTGGGTTTTCTGTTCACTGGGTAGGGAGGGATAATACTTAGTGCTTTGAACAATTTAACCCCTTCACTTCAGGGATGCCACTTTTGATATTTTATTTGGCTAAAGCCAATGATTTTATTCAGCTCGGAAGGGACCCCGTACACAAGGTGTTAAGGGTTAAACTAAGAAGTAAAACATTGGTCCTCAAAAAGATGTCCTGCAAAAATCATCACTGGCATAAATTTTTCCCTGTCATCTCAAACTATAATAAATACTGTGAGCAACTATCCTGGATGATCAGATGAGTGAAAGCTTCCCAAAACATGTATGTACTACTGTGATTCTGTGGAACTCCTATACTGGAACACACACAATAGTGACCTTTTTTACCATATTAAAATTATATTCAAACATTAATTCATTAATCTAATCTGCAATTTCAACTGTTCCTGGATACTGGAAAGCAGTTAATATTAAGGCCTGCTACTCATCTTCTCAATCTTTTTTGCTAAAAATGTACATTTTGTAGATTAAAAACAAGAAACGGTATTTAGATATAGTACAGTAAGAACAAGTCTCTTACCTCCTAAAAAGGAGTGTAATCTGTCCCAAGACATTTTTTCCTCTATGTGATTGCTATTGTTGTGCTTGTATAGCTTCACGCCCCCTGTACTGCTCCCTGCTGCAAACATGTCTCTGGTAACATACTGTATAAACAAGAAATAGTTCATCATTCACTTACCACAGGCAAAATTTCACCAATTTATTTGATTTCAAGAAATTTTGGCCAGTTTTGACAGAACTATGATCTCTCTTCAATGTCCCTGAATATTCTGACATTAAAAGAAATATACTGTACAGTAATTCTACTTTTATGACATGTCTGCACAAGCTATAACATTCAATTTGTCACAGTTGGCTCCACTCTCACGTTTATCAGTTGGTGTTGTCAGTGGTCTCTTTACCTGGGATGAACCTTCCACCCATGACCCTGCTGTTTACCTGGGATCCTCAACCTCTAGCACACTCACCAGTGGTGCTCTCTGATGATGACACCCCTCTTGATGTCACACCATCACCCAGTATGTAAAACCTCTACCACCACTATCATCTCATCTACCCAAGCTGATGTATCTGCATTTATTGGTAAGGGCACTGTACTGGATTGTCCTCAGATAATTATTGTATTTATTTGTTTTATGGTTTATATGTCTTGAAATTGTGTTGAAAATGGGTCTGAAACATTTAATTTGGGGTCATGGGACACATGCAATACTATTTTGGTTTATGTGAGAGTTGTCAAGGGCGCATCCCTTGTATATATCAAGGACACCAATACTCTCTAGGTCACCTGTGGGAGCCTTCAACCACTCTATTTATTGCTAGCTGTACCATGTTATTAAAATATTTGCACTAAATTGCTAAGTAATATGACAATAAATTAGATTTGACAGTTAATTTTTGCATTTGAATCAATGAGACATGAAGTCTCCAAAATACTGTATTCAAAATTGGGTCACACTCTAAAAACTTTGAGAACCAGTGCTAGACAATTACACTTAGCTGAGGAAACCCCTTTTGTCAAAGGGTTATTCTACAGTGTAATCTCCCAGCTGCTATACACTTTCCCTCCTCACCCCCAGTACCCCATCTCCCACTCACAGAAAGACACCCACCCTGCTCCCCTCCACTCACTAGTGAATGTGCTTCATATTCACACTTTAGAGTTCGGGGTTCAAATCTCAGGAAGAGAGAAGATTGGCAATACTAAGCGGTAAAAAGTGGAGTGAACTATACCTATAATTCTCTCAAGTAAAAAGATCTAATTAATCTTTGCAAAAATAATAAAAAGCAGCATTAAGATGAGTATTTTGTATACGTATTACCTACACAATGTACATAATTTACACTACTTGTGCGTCACTATATTAAACACTGTACCTGTATGTCATTAACATTGCCTGAATGCATCAGCTGGTTCACAAGTGTGGGGTCATCTTCTGACTCTGGGACGTGCCACACACCTACAACATTCTCCTGCAAGTGTGATACAAATGAAATATAACCACAGACTGCTCTAGACTTGGACTCTGCTACACTAACATAAGAAATAAGAATAAGGACCAGCAGCTATTGGACATAACTGTACTGTCTCCCAAACACTATACAGTACTAATGTGAGCCCCAAGATGTTACCAGTATAACATTTGTTCATTGAGATATACTACAATAACAACTGTGACATTAGCCTAAGGACTACTTATACAGTAATACTTAACGAGTTTCCCTCGGTCATTAAGCCACTCACAGTGTCACCCCAACTACCGGTGACCAAGGTGTCAGTCCTCCCGTAGTCTGACAGAGGAGGCTTCCAGCGTACTGCCTTCACCTTCCTGGACACATATTTCTTGGAGACCACCGCTTTACCCACCATCACTGACTGAGACTGACTGTGTGAGTGACTGAGACTGACTGTGAGTGACTGAGACTGACTGTGAGTGACTGAGGCAGCGTGAGTCTGTTGTTGTCTCAAACACGTAAACAAACTAAACCAATATTAAATATTTGTATTAAATTAACTATTTATAATTAAATGCTCCCTTCTTACTTTTTTTAATACAATTTAAAGATTCTTATCAACGTTTTATCCTTCTATAATATGAAACAAATAACAATAATGTATTCAATGCAGAGTAAGGCCAGTTCTAATTTATTTTGAATTTATCATTATCATTATATTTCCTTGATTAAAAGACAAAATTTTAAATTAAACCTAAATTTACTTACACAAATAAGATGTGAGTCGTCAAGGCTTTAATGTTAAGATAATGATTTACTTTTTAATTGAGTTTGTTTCCCCATTTTAAAACCTCTGAGTTCAACTACACACACTAATTTAATTTTATTTCCATATATTTCCTGGTGTTACTTTCAATAAAATTAAATTAAATAAAAAATATAAAACTACTGATGATGATAATATTAAAAGTTACATCTGGATATGATATATTTAAGAGGATATTTTTTTGAACAGGTAGTTGAACAGTGTCCACGTAGCAGACGAAAACAGGCAAATGTTGAGGAAAATATATGGCAATTTAAGGTTAATTACCACCATAACTACCGTGTGTAGCCCTTACTGCACCAACTAGTAAGTAAATTATACTCTTCTTGTCAATATAAGTAGGAAATTATGAGTGTTCCTTGGTTACCGATGGTGAAGTGAGAGGTATGGTAGTAGCTGTCAGGTTTGTTCTTGTTTATTTGTGTTTAATTGTTTTATGTAGTGAATAATAAACATATTGTAGGAAGAAACATTTGAGTTGTTGGCTTAAACCTCTCATTAACTGTGATCTATGATATATATGTAAAACAGGTCATAGATTAACTTAATGTAGGTGAAGGCCAACCAGTACTTGACACAAACACAGTGAAGGAACAAGGTACCAGCCATATCACCAGTAGGTACCAGCCATATCACCAGTAGGTACCAGCCATATCACCAGTAGGTACAGCCACATCACCAGTAGGTACCAGCCATATCACCAGTAGGTACCAGCCATATCACCAGTAGGTACCAGCCATATCACCAGTAGGTACCAGCCATATCACCAGTAGGTACCAGCCATATCACCAGTAGGTACAGCCAGTAGGTACCATATCACCAGTAGGTACCAGTATCACCACCAGTAGGTAGCCAGCCACACCACCAGTAGGTACAGCATATCAACAGTAGGTACAGCCACATCACCAGTAGGTACAGCCATATCACCAGTAGGTACAGGTACACCAGCCAGCCACACCACCAGTAGGTACAGCCACACCACCAGTAGGTACAGCCACACCACCAGTAGGTACAGCCACATCACCAGTAGGTACAGCCACATCACCAGTAGGTACAGCCACACCACCAGTAGGTATGCTAGGCCTCGTCATTTCCTCTAATATGTCATGGAAGTCACACATCCTCAACATTGCTAAAGCTGCCTCCTGAAAGCTGGGAATGCTGTACAGATGCCGTAGCTACTTCACTCCTGAGTAGTTGCTTCAGTATATCAGGGATTCATTCGTCCTAACTTGGAGTACTGCTCTCATATCTGGGGTGGCTCTTCTGCTGTCCAACTGTTAGATAGGGTGGAATCAAAGGCATTTCGCCTTATTAACTCTCCTCCTTTAGTTGATAATCTTTCTTCCCTTTCTCTTCGCCACAATGTTGCTTCACTCTCTCTCTTTTACAGGTAGGCTACTTTAACGGGCAATGTTCAGTGGATCTGGCATCCTGTGTACCGCCGGCAAGGCCGTGGGCTCGTCTTGCCCGCGGTGCCCATCGTTTCTCTGTGGATGTCGGTCACACTAGAATAACCCGTTATAGTACATCCTTCTTTCCTCACACAGCCAAACAGTGGAATGCTCTGCCTTCTTCTGTGTGTCCATACTCATACTATCTGTCTCACTTTAAAAGGCTGGTTTTCCGGCATCTTCGCGGTGTGGATTAACAAACTTTTAATCTCGAATTTTTACTTTATTAATATTATTTTTTGTCCCCCAGGCCCTGTTGTGGGTCAGTGACCTGTGCCTGGATGGGCTATTCCCCACAACAAAAAAATGCTAATGGAGGCTTAAATCCCTTCATCCCCACTCCTGTGTAATCAACCTTTCTCTTACGGAACTGTCAAATACTAAGCAAAAATCCCGCAGGAAGGAGTTATGAAGTCCTCTTGAGGCTCGATCCGTGTTGAGTCTTAACTACGGTACATTGATACAACTCGAGTAGAACGTAATGACCAAAACCTGAGTTGATCCTTCTTTTGGTACGCCTGCTCTTCACAGTGGTGTTGGTAACTCTGACTGGAACAACAGTTCTCTTGACCAAAAGCCCTACAAAAAATGACTCACCATGTGACACTTTGTCACTCAAATTATTAGTTCATCTAAATAAAGTACTGTAATTCACCAGGATTAAAGTGAGTTTCAAGAAAAGGTTAACTTGTCCCAACCTGGTGAAGTCATCCGAGGGCTGCCTACGCTCATCAGACTATTTATTCATATTACTGTAGTTATAATACAACTCCATTATTTATGCATTTTTACAATTGAAACTTAGATTATATGAATTATACTGTACAGAGTAATCCACGACGTACCCCAGCCAGCTAGTGCTTTTAACAGTGAATTAATATAGAAGCCCACCACCCATGCATACAAAGATGCTATAACACTCCTGGTGCATGTTGTCAAGAGGCTTTATTTACAGAACACTAATTTTCTGGTCGACATATCACTTTCAGGCAGTCCCCGATTTACGACCATCCAACTTATGATCATCCATACTTACGAACGGGATCCCAATATATTCATCGCCAAAATTTTTAATTAAAATCGTCATACTGTATGAGAAAAAAAAATCTACTTGTTAAGTTATTTATTTTTTGTAGACACAAAAACATATACAGTAAGTGTACAGTAGAGTCTTTGTTAAGCTTATATTTAACAGTGCGACGACTACACCAAACTTATCTAGTTATTCTTTCATTCCTCATCAACTTATAAGAACATAAGAATGGAGGAAACTGCAGCGGGCCTATTGGCCCGTACTGGGCAGTCCCATTTACACCCAACCCCTATTGCTCATATATCCATCCAACCTATATGCATAGTATCATTATATTTAAAAGACGAAAATACTCTTATGTTTTTCAAGAACTTTATTTTATTTTCTGTAAGCTGCAGAATGAAAAATTTATCTTGTAGGAACACTAGGGAAAAATACCTTCTATGAACACACTGGCTGTTTCTCTCTTCCCTGTAGCTAAGTGATCTTGTGATCAGCATGGTGACATGCCCCACCGAGGAGCAAATAACATCTTTTTAGAAAATCTTACTACAAGTCCTCACATAAATATTGATAACTGTGAGAGCTACAGTACAACTGTAGACCATTTATCCATAAGTTTATTCACTGAAGTTATTGTTAGTTATTTATTTTTTAAATTAGTGATAGGGTCAGTTGTGGTACTGGGCCTGACAGATCACTTAATACTCCATAAGAAAATGATCCTCATAACCCAACCTTGACTAAGATACATTACAGTATCCTTTAGTAAATTTCTTTAAATATTAAAGAATAAAATCTGCCTCCAGAGATTATACCTTTGTTTAGACAAAGTGATTCAGGGATCCTTTTAAATGTTCTCTAATCTTAAGAATACAGTACAGTTAAAACTTTGTTAATGATTACTGTCCCGGGTATACAGTACAATATAGATTTTAAAGTCGTCACTTATAAACACTGTCTAAGGATTGGTTTATACTTGTGCAGGTTTTACAGGAACAACATGGCTGTGGAGCTGCTGCCTCATGTCCTGCACTGAGATATTTGGCTTTGTCCTGAGTGAGACATTGTGTCGTACGAGTCGCGGGAGGAAGCACGACCCCGTCATGTTCTCACGTATATCTGATGCTCTGCAGGCTGCTGCTGATGTTGTGAGTTAGAACAGATCACCTGAAGATTAGCATCCTCCAACTTATTTCACCTGGTGATTAAATATCCTAATACTACCTGGGGGAGTTATGTTAGTTTAGGTTTGTAGGCTAAATGGGTTGAGAGTTAATCTTCAGGTGACTCGGTAGGGCCTATTGTGTGTTATGTTCTCACGAGTTGATAATATTTTACACTGTTAATATTCTTTAGTTACTCATTTCCCCAAAACTTTTCAATGTCTTGTGTGTTCTTGTCATTTTCCTTAAGATTTTTCTTACTTTTTTTTAGTTTTTCATATATACTTTTTACCAGTATATCTCATTTCCTTTTTCTCTCCCCTGTTCTTTTTTTCTGTTCTCCTCTCCTGTTTCCTCAACTTTTTATTTGTTTACTTCCATATTCTTCATCTCTCAACATCCTTCCCTCTTCTATCTCTCCATCATCCTTCAACTCCTGCCCATTTTATTGATCAGTGTGTCCATTTTGTCTTATTTTCTTTCTCCCCCTTTCATTCTGCCTTCTGTTGTCCATTTTTTTATGCCTCATTTATGGTGATATTGTAAGGACTACCTGTACTATACTTCACCTGAGGGTACTGTACATTGCTACTAGTGGCTAGCTTATCTATTAATACCTAGCTATTATGAATGATTGAATACCCAGGGAATTGTCCAGTGACATATGGAAGTTTGCCTTACACACTGTATTCCCCCAGACATTTGAAAAAGTTGTAGATTTGTAAAAAAATAAATAATAATAATCACAGTTTTTGCTATGCTGTAATATCCCCAATAGCCAGAACTATCAGTGCAGAACATTTCTGTGTTAAAGAGATTTCTGGGTATTGAAATGAATTCTTTCCCCCAGAAAAAAAAAATCACATTTACTGAATTTTTTGGGGGCCTTAGTGAATGTTTCCGAGTCTAAACTACATGTCTGGCATGAAGCACCATTGCTAGGAATAAGCAGCTTGGCAGCTTCTACTAGCTTGAATACAGTAGTAGAAGTGAGGCTTAACTCCAGTTGGACTTGTATTGTACAGTATATAATAAATAAACAAAATATATTAACATACTGTATACTGAACTGTACTTTACTGTACGGTACTAATCAGTTGTCTTGTGATGCAGGCAGGCCAAATGGTGATATGATACTGTACAGGATGGCCTGTCTTTGTCCTGTACAGGTACCATCTACTGTACAAGGTGTTGCTAACTGTTACTCTCCTCTCCCGTCTCCCTCCATGAAGTGTTTTCGCTGAGACTCTCCTTGGCCCCTTGGTACTGCGGGTTTTTTCTCTAGCTCTCACATACAGTGTGTGTACAATGGTACACACACTGTATGTCAGAACAGAACCGAAGTGAGACAAGCACTTGTATGCCTGAAACCAGTATGTATGATGTCCTTCACGAGTATCAATTAAATCTGCACTAACACTGCTACAATCTGCCACTTGAATAACTTCAATATCTTCACAGGTTCCTTAGTTGTGGTAATATAAAGGTCACAAACATTAACTGCATTTTTCTGTTTTCAATTTGTGGAATTTGTCTTATTTTGGTTCTGTGCTACAGTGCTCCTCATGTGTACACACAACCCTCTACATACTAGGCTACAGTAGGCATACAGTACAGTACTTTCACACTTATTGTATGTGCAGTACATATACATAACTGTACAGTACAGTAATCACTTTTCATGTCTTAACACTGATTTAATGATATTCTTGGCTGTTTGTATCTTGGTACAGTATTGTACAGTGCATATACTGTACTGTATGCTGCACAATGCAGATCGTAGCTATGCAAAAACAGCATCGAGTGAGCAAACAAGCTTTTACTGTACAATGGCAGCAGACAATGAACTAAGAGTGCATTATGACACTTAAGTTTGAAGAGAGAAGCTGCAAAATACTTCAGCCAATCATAGGCATCCCTTGAAGTCACATGACAGTAGTAGCCAATCACAGCACAGAGCACTCTGAGCCTACAACCTAAGTTCTCCATACAGCTAGTCCACCCACACGCTCGATGCAGGATGCAATCTCTGAAATTCACTGGAAAACCAAAAAGGGAGAAATGTTTTTGGAATTTCTCGGAATTTTCTTTTTATTTTCGAGGGATGGAAGATTAAGGCTGATGGGGATGTTACTGTAATTATTGAGATCTAATATACTGTACTGTACTGTACTGTATAGTCTAAATTATGATACAGTAATATCTCCGTTAACCGGAATCCCTCAAACCCGGAACTCCCCGATAGCCAGAATTGAAATTTTCCGAGGGGCACATTTTCTGGGAAATTCTGAGAAAATTTTCCCGATACCTGGAAAATTCCGGGGATGGGGGAGTTTTATCCACGTTTGAGAGATGAAAATGAGGCGCATTTTCTGGAAATTCCGAGAAAATTTTTCCGTTACCCGGAAAATTCTTGGGATGGGGGATAATTTTCCAGGTTCGAGAGATGATGTAATGGGCAATTTCTGGAACTTCCGAGAACATTTTTCCGTTACTTGGAAAATTCCGGGGATGAGGGATATTTTTCCGGTTTTGAGAGAGTCGTCTCGTTACCTGGAAATCTCTCATTCCCGGAAGTGGTCTGCACCAATTGTTCTGGCTATCAGAGATATCACTATGCAAGCTTGACGACCTCAGTTGTTGAGACGTGGTACTGTACTACATCATACCTCTGTTAATGGAGCCTCGGTGAATGGAATTTGGTTTAATGGACAGGAAAATATATTAATTTAATAGTTGCTGTATAAAAGTGTTTATAGTTTCATTCAAGAACAAATTCAATCGACCATAAGTGAAAAAGAACCAACGATATAGTGCGCCACCATCTTTGTTGTTTACTTCCTCTTAGCCAATCAGTGATCGCTTCAAAACTTAAACAGTAGCCCGCTAAAATCTATGTTCATTTCATCGCGGAAAGTCTTCATATTTTTGCTCCATACGTGTATTTTGTGAACATTTTATACCCATTATGTCTGGGAAACGGCCTGCAGGTGCGCGTGTTGGTAAACCAGCCAAGGTGCCCAGGAAAGTCATTACTGTAGACGTTGAAATTGAAAGTGATACAAAGGGTTTTGAGGCAGGCAAGGAGTAGGTGCTCAGTAGGAGGTAGGCAGCAGTGGTAAACCAGCCATCAAGCTCCAAAAACATTAACTAGTGAGTGTTACTTATTAAATTTAGTTTAATTTATTATTGGTGTTAAAGTCTTCATTGGAATATAAAAGTTAAGCATTGTTATCTCGTGACAGCCAATTTCTTGTCTCACTATCGTTGTGCTGTAGCGGTTTGTTTGCCGCTTATTGTTTACTTTTCATAGGGAGACAGCAGGAGAAAATCATGTGTATTTCTAAGTAATTGCAACTTTTTTTCTAATATTTACAACCTATTTGGAACTGTTAATCATTATTTAGTCATTCTCTAAGGAAATAGTAGTATACAATGAGAGTTATTTATCATTTAGAATAATTTTACTGTTAGCAAGAACACATCTCCATAAGCACCACGTTATAATGGCCTCTTTTAACTGATATTTCACTTAGCGTTCCGTCCTCAATAATGTATCTTGTCTGTTATAGAAGGTCTTATTGTAGTGCATTATAAAACCAACAACACGTCACTTTTACAAGTCAAGGAAACATATTTTTAGGATGCATGAATCACTGTTTTGTTGTGTACATGTATTTTAATCACAGTATTATGATATTTATAAGTTTTAATAAAATCATTACTGTATATGAAAACCATCACGTGCTTCTTACAGATAGCCCCACCATGCCCACGTGTAGAGGATCTGCGTTACCACTGGACTCAGCTATCAATAGTATGTCAGAGATGCCAGCACAATGAGGGGCAGCCCCCAGCCATTGAAGAAACTCATGTCACAAGGCACCTCTCTCAGATGTTGAAGGTAGGTGGCGACTGTTCTTGCTGGCTTTCCTCATACTTCATATTGTTAGATTTTATACAACAGAGACGATTACATGTTTGGCCCCCCCCAAAAAATGTTTCCTTTCATTCTCTCTTTTTTTTTAAACATCCTTGGCTAGGAACAAGAATGTGGGAAAGTAATCTATGAAGTGAAACCATCTCCTTAAATTTTGTGCTTTGAGTTGACTGAGGTGACACCACTGTATCAGTGCTTGCTACTCATTTTTTGCTTTAGAAATATTATACTAACTCATGGCCTCAATTATATAAGGTGTTATCAAACTTATAACTGCAGAAGTCACATACTGTACAAGAAAAAACTCTGTGATAAATGTAACAGGGATAATTGATATAAAGTTGGTGTGGTGTAAGAGAGGAACTTTGTATATGATGTTTCATTATACTGTAGGAGGTGATTTGGGATTGAGATCTTTGCTGCAATATGGAAAAAGTGATATTGGCATTACTGTACATGCTCTATATATTACTGAGATTACTTTTAACTACTGACTGATAACATAATTATTGAATATGTATGAATTACAAATTTATTTACTACTAGAAGAAAAGTTTATATGGATATCAATGCAGGCACTAGTGGCAGAGGAGCGAGAGCAGCGTGTAGGAGGACCGCTGAGCCCATGTATGGAATACCTAGTACAAGAGAAAGTGTTGGCCATGTTAGCTACACACGCGCGTGCCGACCGTCCCCTTGGGATACGTCAGCATGTTTATATATTTCTGGTTGGCGTCCTGAACCATCTTCATCACTCTCACCTCCATCACACGCCCATACACAAGTCTCTCCAGGTGTGTTAGTCTCTTACAGTCTGTCAGATTGATTAGTGAACATTAAAGAAATTATAACCTGTATCAATTAACATTTATATCAAATTATCCAAATATGTATTGAAAGCCAGTTCACATTGAAATGAATTCTCATTATTTAATACAGAATTATCTTTTGCAATGATTTCTACGTTGTCATCAATGTTTTACAGCAATTTTCCAAGGTTAAGCCATGGTGTGATTACCTGATGGCAGCTCTCCATGCTACACCCTCTCTTTCATTTGGTTCTTAACCCTGATGTCATTTCTTACATCCTCTTCCCATGTTAACCTTGGCCTTCCTCTCCTCTCCTTCTTAATTAAACTCTTTACCCAGTTTGTCTCCTTTCTTCTCTTTCTCTCCACATGCCCAGATCATGTTGTTCTGAACATGATTTCTTGTAAATGCAATGTCACGTAGCACATCTGCCTCACTATTCTCATTTCAGATCGATCAAGCCTGTGTATGTTACCCTCTTTAGCATGCCCATGTTTCATTGCCATTCAACGTCACACTTTTTACACCAGTTGCATGCAGCTTCCTTTCTCACAAAGGGAAGGTCCTCTTGCCATCAATAAAAGCAACATCTCCCTAAACTTTCTTCTGCCACTTCTGACTTGCAATTGAGTTAACTTCAACACCACCACCAGCTTTGATCATGTCACCCAGGTACCTGATACAGTCCAGGGATATACACTATCCATACTGTTGAATTTCTTCAGCCTTGCTAAAGTTGCATGAGATGTTGCACATACAGAACACCTAGAGTCAGCAACATCCTGCAGTCTGCCATTTATGCTACTGCCCCTCTTTTGTACCAACCTCTTACAGCTCTTACTGTATTCTTAGTCAATCTCTGATCATTAATACTAAATAACTAGTCAATTAAAAGATATCTGTCACCTCTTCCCAATACTGTGTTACCAGATCACCTGTCTCACATCATACAGGTGGGTTGGGATGAACTTCTGCCGTTGACTGTATACAACGGGTCAGATACTCTCTGCTCTCAGCACTAATTCATCAGCATACAACAACTCCGAGGGCAGACCTATCTAAATGTCCCATAAAGGTGCCTCTAGAACCATAATAAACACCATGAATATATATTTTTCAGTTAAAATAGAAGAAAATATTGTAACATTCGCTAGATCCCTGTACTGTACATCAGTCTTGGAAATTCGTAACAGCCATGACCACTTTACTTTATCCTCTTCACCACTGAATGGCTTATTAGTTGCTTGGGTCATGATGTAACTCACTAAAAGACTCCCTCTACAGAGCCATAGTGCTGTGTTCCACTTCATGAATCTCCTGGTCTGTTACATAATTTCACTTGAAACATTGATTCTTATCCTAATACTAGACGGATTCAGCTTCAGTTCCAATCTACTCCACAGTCCACAGAGAAGTTATAATCAGCCAGTCAACTTATTCCAGACAATGGTTCGGGCGAGCTGTGAGATGAGAGCTTCTCCGTATGAAACTGAGGAAATCGAATTCTTGTCCACACTGTGTGAAAAAATACGTCAAGATAGCAGTATAATCCTGCTATATATACAGGTAGTACAGTACATTGGTTGATGTAGTTGTCTCAGTAGGTGAGGGGTTGGTGGAGTGATAGAAGCTTAAAGACAGTTTAGAAGTACTGCAGAGGATCTGTTTTATTGTAGACATTTGAGAAAGAAAGAATAGGGATTTATGTGTAGCGATGTCTCCTTTGTGAAATTATTTGATAAAAGATTCCCTTAATAATAGATCAAGGTTTAATATTGATTTATGGTTATAAATTTTGTTATTTTTATTTTTTTATTTTTAGTGGAATTTAGGTAGAAATTCAGCATCAGATGGGCCTACATTGTCTGCCTGAAGTCATATCTCAATCTAGATTCCACATAGAATTGAAAATACCTGTACTCTAATTGTCGTAGAATTTACTTATCCCAAATTAAAACTACTTATTAGTAAGAGAAATTTACATCTAATAGTTTTATTGAGCTTGCAACTCTGTGGTTAATTTTTACCACAAAATTTAATATTAATACTGTAGTTCAATCACAGTGTTTCTACAAATAAGATAGATTACTGCTACAAAATGTTAGTTGCTTATTTTTAAGGTATCACGCAAAGCTATTTAATATGGAAAGTGGGAAGTTATGTAGGGTGTTGAATATGGATCACCAAGCAAGGTGTGATGCTGAGGAGAAAAGGGGTAAACTTGAGTCTTATTCTGTATATTTTAGAGGGAAGGATCAACATGAATCACATAGTTAGTATCTGTGTTTCATGTATTTGGTTATATCCTACATATCATATCATTGAATCCAATTTTAATTGTTTTTTAATGTACTGTACTTACATTTTCATATTGCAGCCAATAGCATTAACAGGAGGCATCTCAAGTGGTTATACCCCAGAAGACAGTCTCCCACCAACTCCTTCCCATGAGGGTACCGCCACCACCACAAGTGATTCATCCTCAGTAGTGTCAACACAGAAATCACTGCCTAAATTTCCTTTGGTTGATGCTCTTCTTAACCTCTGTCACAGTGCAGTAAGTATTAATTATATTTGGTTACTTTGCTATTTTTAGGAGATAAACTTGTAAGCATTAACCTCTCAATATTTCTTGAACAGTATTTAATAACTTAATGATATTTAAGACCAGTAATTGAAGAACTAAGATAAAATGTATCTATTGTGAATTATTATGAACATTATATTTAGTCTGATGACACAAATGCCAATCATATACAGTACTCTCTGTATTGTGTAAAGTAGCAGAATATCTTATAAATACTGTACTTTATTTTTTTTTTAAATCTAATACACTACTAATATGTAATGTTAAAAATAAGTTAACATCATAAAACTCACCAGGACAGCCAAATATCTGCCACAGCCCATGACTGTCTGGTGGGCATAGCCAGTGTTAGAGAAGGACAGAGTAGCTCAACAATAGCCAGACACACACTCCTCCCCCACTACCTGGCCACACGTTTAGTCACAGCCTCTGACAGTATTCCAGTGGACACTGAGCCTGCATTGATAGAGGACATCCCACTGTCAGAGAGGGTCAGGTATGTAAAGACAAGTTTGACATTACAGCCATTTGCACTTAATATTATACTATGAGTCTTACTGTGCAGAATTTGTGCTACATATTTAGTTAGCAGTCCCAGTGGGGGTCTGAAGAGACTTAACGTCGAAACAATTAAGGAAACTGGACGAACTATCATGACTGAGTGATAAAACAAATGCAGTTCTATTTCCAGATTAAAACCTGGCTTACTGTAGCTTGTTTTGACAGCCGTCTGACGTAGTATAGCCATCGATGGCGTCTCAAAAATAATAGTGGTCCGTTGAGACGGGGGAGTTAAAGGTAAACAAACACAGATGATGATAACCTTCACTATGCTTTCTTCCATGCAGCTTCACATGGGAGTCACTTTTATCCTCTTTGTCACTGATTGGCTCGTCACTTGGTGTTGAATTGAGATGCTTAATGGAGAGGGACAAACAGATTAAGCCTGTTTAATTTTATTTGTGGATATTTAGAAATTTTTCTTATTTTTCATTAAGGTTCAGTCAGAGTACCATCTTCATATCTGAGGGTTGGTGACCACAGTCCTCCACTCTAAACATTTTGGGGCTGTTTTTACCAATCCTCAGAGATTTTGTATCTCTCTGGGGACCCAGTTTTTAATTTTATTCATCCATCCTAGCCTCTGCCTTCCCCTGACCCCCCTACCCTTAACTTTTTCCTTTAATATTTCTGTTATAATTCCCTCATCCCTAATTATATGACCAAAGGATCTTTTTTTTCTAACCTTCGTACTGCTTCATTTGTCTTCCTGTCAGTTTAACTTATTCTTAGCAATTCACCTATAACACCACATTTCAAAAGCCTCTAACCTTTTTCTAATGTCTGCTGAAAGTGTCCAAGCTTCTGACCCATACAATAAGTCTGACCATATGGTATAGTCCTTTTCATTAGGTTTTTTAGATTATTGAATGTTGTTTTTGATTGACCTATTTTTGTTATGTTTACTTTAACACATCTACCATACAGCTCATGTTACTTCCCAAGTACACATAATATTCCACTTGTTTAAGTTCCCTGTTTTCTACCATTATTATTGTTATAGGATGTATTTCTAATTTTGAAATAACTATTACTTTCATCTTTACAGCATTAACTCTGAACCCATATTCTTCACCTTTTTCTACTAATCTGTTAAGCAGTTTTTGTAATGCCTCTTTGCTATCTGTGATAAGAGCAGTATCATCTGTATAACGTGTATTTTATATTACTGTACCATTATCACTTACAACTTCTCTCTTTAAGAATTCTGAATATATATTATACAATGTTGGAGATAGAACACAGCCTTATCTTACTCCCTGTCTGACTGTGAACCAATTAGTAAGTTCATTATTTACGAACTCTGCAGCCTCCTGTTGCCAGTAAAGATTCTTTAAAATCTAATATCTCCTTCATTAATTCCTTTTTTTTCCAAGATCTCTTTCAGTTTATTGTGCTTTACCTTATCAAAACCTTTTGCTAAACCAACAGAGCAGATGTATAAATATATTTGGATCTCTAAAGCCGTTTCACTCAAAATTCTCAAACCAAATATAGCTTATCTAGTTCCTTTTCCCTTTCTAAATCCATTTTGCTCTTCACATAACACACTGTCTATTGTAAATTTAATTTTACTGTAGTTAAAATTATGATTAGTAAAACTTTGTGGGTATGACTTATTAAGCTAATTGCTCTAAACTGGGTGCACTCTAAAACCCCTGGCTTTTTAGGTAATACTACATGTAATACAAATACAGTATTGATTTTTAAATCACTGGGAAGGTTTCATTTGAAATATATAGAATTAGCTACATATTTTGATCACAAATTTGATTTCATTCTTGCCCATTTGTTTTATAAATTCTACTGGAAGCTGATCAACCCCACAAGCTTTGTCATTTTTAATTTTGCCCGCAGCTGCCTTAACTTCTGATTCCAGAATTGGTAGTTTGATCTTTATTGCCTTTTCGTTTCTTACCTTTACTCTATCTTTATCATTGTGTAGTTCTTCTACGTACTCTGCCCATCACTCTTTCACTTCTTCTGCCTCAAACAGGATCTTATTGTCTTTTTTTTTAATAGTCCCACCCCATTTATTTCCTTTTTCTGGCTCATTTGTTTAATCTTTCTGTACATTTCCCTACAGTTATGCCTTCTGTCATCATCTTCTATCCTTACATTTCCTTTTTATGTCATCTTCCTTTTTGTAAGCCTCATTTTATCTTATCATGTTTCTTCATCTATCTATTTTCTTTTATTAATTTGCTATCCACTCACTTTTAGCCTCATTCCTCCTATGCCCTGTAAGTTTTTCCCCAGTCTCCAACATTATTTCTTGGTAATTATTATATTGTCGTCCTGGTTTTTGGTTTCAGTTTCATATTCTCTCCCTGCCCCTATTCTGAGTTTCCCTAAATCCCGTTTGATTTTGTCCATTGTTGGGTTAGGTTGGTTTAAAACTCATGTCCACAGAAGATGAATATCACCATTGGAGAGAGGAGTAGAAAAAACTCAAGAAAAAATACCTTATGTGCAGTGTTGCCATACCTTCAAAATCTGTATACTGTACTGTACTATATCATCATTGTAGTGGATCTTTTAATATTCAATATCGATTTGCTATGCATATATTTTAAGAATAATTATATTAGTTAAGTTTGATTTCATTATTATTTGATTATATTTTTATTTTGAATCTTTGTTTAATATTACTAACATACAAACACATTACTTATTTCTGTCTCAAAGGACAAGATCAAAATGGTTTATTTCACTCGTCGATGGGCATGTTAGAAATGGGCAGCAGACGTTCCCAGATTCACACACAACATTCACCAAACGGGCCGGTATGACATCATCGATGGCTATGTAATGTCAGAGACGGCTGTGAGAGCGGGCTAGTGTGAACCTGGCTTAACTAGGGCTTGACCAATATATTTCTAATACCTGGTATCATATAAACTAAACATTAATTTCATAAATATCTTGCATTGGTCATGCTTGGTGGTACAGTATACGAGCTGGTTGACGATAGCAACCTTGCCTTTAGAGTTTCTCTGTCTCGCATAGTATTCTCAGTTACAGTATATGCTTGGCTTATTCTGTCTACTGTTCAGTCATTTGTTCGTGCCAGGTGTACGTCACGCTTCTCCTTGGTGGTATAATAGTTAACTCATTAGCTTGCTTCTCTACTGGTCTGTATTCAGTCCAGGGTACACCAAGCAGGTTCCTGTTACAGTCTGGTGAAACAGTTGGTCAGAACTACTAGATCTTCGTAAGGGTCTTTCATTGAGGAGGAAACGTTACATTACATTCTACCGAGATGGTTGGCTTGGACTTATTTACTTTTTACAATTGTACTAACCTTCATATAGTATTTATATATTTACCTTCACTGGTACAAATGGTGTTTCATTTGTGTGTCAGGAGAGCATGTATGTTATACAACTAAGAATTAATTTATTTCCTTTGTCATTAGGAAGGTAATTTATTTATGATGAAATAATGAAAGGAATACTATATCATACCTTTATCATACTACTGAGCATAATAAAATTAATTACATTTTTACTGTAAAAATATGAAGTTTAATATCACACAAAGTCAAAAGAACAATGCTTAAAGCTATGTTAACACAGCTCAACTGTTGGAGGTTGTAATGATAGGTTTACACTCACTTAACCGCTGTCAACTGTTGAAGGTTGTAATGATAGGTTTACACTCACTTAACCGCTGTCAACTGTTGAAAGTTGTAATGATAGGTTTACACTCACTTAACCACTGTCAACTGTTGAAGGTTGTAATGATAGGTTTACACTAACTTAACCACTGTCAACTGTTGAAGTTGTAATGATAGGTTTACACTCACTTAACCACTGTCAACTGTTGAAGGTTGTAATGATAGGTTTACACTCACTTAACCACTGTCAACTGTTGAAGGTTGTAATGATAGGTTTACACTCACTTAACCACTGTCAACTGTTGAAAGTTGTAATGATAGGTTTACACTCACTTAACCACTGTCAACTGTTGAAGGTTGTAATGATAGGTTTACACTCACACAAGAAAAGTGTTGTTGAAAACCCTTAACAAAACCTTCTCCAGTGTGGTTAGCCAAATGCTCAAAATAATAATGTTACTGTGTGTTTGTTTTACATGTTGTAGGGTTTACACTATCCCAGTCTTGTACGTCCTGTGTAACAGTCAAATCTTTTCTCTTTTATCATGCAGATATGTCCATAAATATGTGTCCTTGTAGACTATAGTTGAAGGGAAACTTGTAATTTGTTTTTCTAGGACTGACGTTAATGAAAATAGTGACAGTGAGGATGATGAAGATGTTGGAGAGTTTCCTGGCAGAAGAGAAGTTGTCACTTTCCTGTACTGGCTCACATTTTGTGATAAGGTACATGATCTTAGGTTGCCTGTTGTAAAGAGTTGTGTGGAAAGTCCCAGAGTAATGTCTCGTTACTGTACCGTAGTAGTTGTTGCAAAAGGCTATAGATTTTTATTGTACACCGTGCTTAATGAATAGAGGGTTCTGGTGGCTGAGTGGATAAAACACTCACCACCTGTATTAACTGTTGTTGATTCATCCCCTGGGGCATCCACAATTGACTCAGATGTGAATGGGCAACATAACTTTATAGTTAGGGAAGTGAAAACTGTTGAATGCAGTCTTGGTCATTCTGCTGTCTTGTGTACCAAAGGCTTAGTATATGGTATGCTGCATCCACACTGCCCTTAATGTGCTGTGGGACCCAAATTCTGTGAATAGAACTTTTTTTTTTTCAATGTGCTTTTTTATTCTTCATGGGGTTAAATTAGACATTTAAAGTTACAATGGGAAATGTTTGAGTAATAAGGAGGAGCTTAATACATAATGTGGTGTGCGGAGGAAGTTTTTGTCTTTGTGTCTTATGTGTTATGGATGATGATGTGTAAGATGAGGGTAGACAGATATGTAGACTCCAATATTGTTCTCTTTATTTGAAACTAGTAAATTTTATGAATGCCCTTTATGAAATATGAATCAAATATTACTATTTTTTCTTATATATTATTGTTCTATTTAGAATTTGTTAGTATCGTTATACTGTATCATACTTTACAGCTTGTAGATGTAAGTGATGGTGCATTGGGTTCAAGTATTTGTAGTACCGTAAGAGAGGTATTCTTAGACGGTGTTCTGCGTGGGAATCTCACCAGTGACGACGAAGACACCACATCCCTCTTTATTGCTCTCACAGCCAAGATCATTACCTCTGTCTCTTCCCCACTGCTTGTGAATGGTGTGTGTTTATATCTGTAGATGCTAGTTCTTGATACATTCCTCTTATTAGTATGAAAACCACATGAAATATGGGAATTTGTTGCATATTTTATAGTCGGAAATATTCACAATTTTAATATTCTTCTGTGTTTAATTATGTTGTTTATGTGTATACTACAGTACTTACAGTTTTTAAGTGTCAAGATCACTTATATGATTCATGCATCCTACGTGTTATGAAGACACTACAGTAATTCAATTTTTGGTCACCTGATGCCACACAACATTCTGAAGTGACACCAACTTTGGGCTCTTCTTTAGTATTATATTTTATTCAATATGAAGTGTGAGGATGTCTATTGTGTTGTTGTATAGGCATTGTGTCATGGTTAACTGAGGAAGCTGAAGACCTAGATGGAGGGGAGACCAGCATGAGGCAGCAGTTGATGATCTTGTGTCAGCAGCCACCTCATCATCTCCAGATACAGGCTCTCAGATTACTACAGGTAAGATGACTGTAGCTAGTTGATTTAATAATAGAGGAAACTACAGTACAGTTAATTCAGGCTAAGTGGATAAATGTGTTTTGTTTTTGATGTAGAGAGTCGGGCTAAGCTCTGTCAATAAACAGTTTCCTAAAATATTGGTCCCAATTATCCATCTCACATTTATTCGTCATTTCACATCTTTGTTGCTCATTAATAAGGGAACTCTTTTCCATTAATTGTTATTTACTTTCTACACATTCACTGTTCAGACTACTTACCATGTCTCACTACAGTACTTGCAAAGGATACACGCACACTAATATTCTCTCCAAGCTCATTTTATTGTAGCATTGCTGTTTTCACCACAAACTCACCAGATTCAGTATTAAGATGTTTTAATAGAAATCTGTACACTAGATACTGGTAACTAGAGTCATTGGTTCATGTTAGACACAGTGTGCCACATAGTAACATAAATCTAATAGCCTCTGTATTTATGCCAAAGGAACTTAACCCCTTAATTATATTATTTCTTTTTCTTGATATGAGTGACATTATCGATGAATAGGAATGTAACCCCTTCATTCTGTAAACTCTCATGGAAAAACATTCCCCACTATCAGTCATTTCAGTATTTGTATCACTATTCTAGGACGTACAGTAATGCCAGTGAATAACAGAGACCAACAGTAATAGTTTTTTGTTGAGTAGTTTGTGTATAAGACATCTTGCTGGGTCTTAGAAAACCACACTAAATTTAGATAATATTCTGTATGTACTAATGAAAAGTATCTTTTATGCTTGTTGTGTATGTGTTACAGAAAGATTTATTATACTCTTCATATTTTGTGGATCAGAAAATTTACTGTCGCGAAGAGATCTCTATAAAAGACGCAAATGTATCACAAAGGTGCTGATGGAGAAGCCAGGCAGCATGGCCGTGCAGTCACTGGTGTTGAACTATATGACAGCACGTAGCTACCATGACTCCTCTGCGGCGGAGCACCAGCAGAGCTCCTGGTCAGACGAAGAGGATGAGAGGTACAAACACCGAGATGGTGAGTCAAGTGTCGTCACCGTACAAAACTTTAATTTGTCGTTAGGAAACATAAACTCGCTACTGTGTTTATCTGTTCTTCTGTGTCATATTTCTGTCTGTTTATTTCATCTACCCATTTCTCAGTTTACAGCAAGAGTTTGTTTATGCTATATTTAAGATAACATGATACTGCTCACCGTGTACTGTACTGTACTCTTCTGTATTGTACTGTACTCTACTCTACTGTAAATCACATTAATATGCATGTTAATCAAATTGTTTCTCCTCATCCTAAAGAGTAAAATAAATTTGTATCCACTTCTTCAGTATGTTTGTTATTGTTTAAACAAAATTACTTTATATATATTAATAGACACCATCGCCACAGTCTTATTAATATCACAAAGATAAATACAGAGTACAAAGATTTTTCAATATATATAGTAGTACAGTAACTATAAGTAGGGTTTATGAGTTTTGGTATTTATATGTAATATTGTGAGTTTGAGACTGAGGTTTGTCTCTAAGTTTTATTTTTGTAAAATTATTGAAAAAGATTTGTACAGTGAACCCTCAAAGATCCGGACTAAAAGGGGGACCACCTGTCCATAAAAGCTGATTGTCCGAATTTTCTGCCGAATAATAAATGATATAGGAAACACCAAAAATACAGTACTAATGTAGTGATAAACAAATTACCATATATAAACCATGCATTTACCTATGATAACATAATAAGAAACTTGTATCATTATTAGAGTGAATGAAATAATATTCCCACGAACAACAATTGTCAATTCTGTTTGTGTTTCCTACCTCCTCGGGCACCTGTGTCCAAGCAACTGACGGGTCACGTAGCGCCCACGGGCCTAAACTGTTCTTCGCCCAGAACCCCCAAATTTTTGTCCGAAATCCTGATTTTCTGGGTCTGGATCTTCGAGAGTTTACTGTACTCTGTATTTACTTTTGTGATATTTATTAGACTGTGGCTATGGTGTCTATTAATGTTTGAAGTGTCTCTGTGGAAGACTGTAACAAAGGTTTCTGTGTAACTTTGTTGAGAGTTTAGGTTAAAAATGTGAGTAATAATTTGTATACCCTGTACAACATTTTGGTGGGCTTGTGACAGAGATAGTCACTTTTCATAAAGCAGAGTACATCTATATTTTATCACCAGCTGTAAGAAAGGCAGAACATCTTGTGGCATACCCCCCCTCCCTCCCCACTCCTTCTCTTTTATATATTCATTATAAGTATAGTGTCCTGACATTATTATTAGTGTTATCTTTTGTGTCTTCTAAGCATTGTAAATGTAAACTTTGTCTGTGCAGTAGACCCGTGATAACTCAGAATTCGGTAACTCGGGATTCTATATAACTCGGCTTGGCACTAAAATATTCAACTGTAAATTATTATTTTTTACATAACTCAATATTCTGAGTTATGATGAGGCAATCTCGGGATGGTGCAATGTGTGGTACCCACTTCAGGCTACTGTACTGTGAGGATAACCATCTGTAGTCACTCTTCTTGTTTTCCTTATTTTTCACTGTTTGTGACAAGTTTTATTTAACCCTCATAGATACGGCGTCTGCACCATCACCAAGGTCTAGTAGGAGGGAAATGAAGTTGAAATCCTTGAATATTGGGGTGGGACACAAGGGGTTATTATTATGAAAAGTGAATGAGATGAAGGAAGCAAAAGTCCCTCGATAACGTGGGATGGTTAGAGCCCCATATATCCTGAGTTATTGGGAGTTAACTGTCTTTTTATTTATTTTACAATGGGAATTTGATTAAACTGTTGCCATTTAATAGACTTATAAGATTCATTTTCACTTATTAGTTGCAGTAGTAAATATATACAAGTTTTTGGTAGACTTTGAAAGTTTAATTTTTTATCTGTGTAAGATTATGTGACTTAAAAATATACCTGTTATTGGGTAAAGAAAGTAGGCATGAAGTAAATGTTTGGCATGGGATGATGTATCATCAGTTGATACTTGTACAAAGGCTAATAAGATGCTGTGAGCACTGAAAAAGTTGGAAGGATGATTAGTTGGCAAAGTTAACTGACAGTGTGCATGATGGTACGAAGGCAAGGAAGCCCACACAAGAGGTGGACGTAAGTAGAGGGACGTTGTGTGTGGAAGTGGACGAGTACAGTAAGAAGAAGTATATCTTTCCCGAGTCATTTTGTTTTATTGTGGACATGAAATTTTCTGATACTGTACAGGCATCCTTTGATTTACTAACATTATTCTGAAATGGAGCTCTTCCTTAAGCCAGAGGATGCCTGTAAATCAATAGTTCCTTTTGTCCATTATATCTACCATCATATATACAGGTACAGTATATACAGGGTGATCAAAAAGGTCCAATTTCCTGGCAGTAATTAACTATATTTACTGTGAATATTTCTAGTATTTACTGTAAGTAAAAAAAAGGTAAAGTAAATAACTATACTGTATAGCATGTACAGTATTTACGTATGTCAGATGCATAGGGATTTTTTTATCACCCTGTGTATATCTACTTTATAAAGTCTGGCACCAATAGAATACTGTAGTATATTTGTAGGTGATACAGCAGTAGGCTTTGTGCTGATAACCTCTAAGTACAGTACTATACACTAGTGGTTGCTTATAACAATAATAATAATACAGGTACTGTTGTCCCCAATTTACTAAAAGGTTCCACTTCAAAAAACATTTCATAAATTTATTTGTTATAAATCTCATCCCATTTTCCAATAGACTCCCATTATAGCAGCTGATATACAAAAAGAAACTTTCCCAAAAGTCTTAAAATGTTGTAAAAACATGATTTCAATGACAAATTTTGGTGTACATAATGATTATAAGCCTATAATAGCATAATAAATGAAATGCAGTAATAATATTAGACTGATGAGAAATCACAGTAGGTACTGTACTTAAAACTACTGTACAGTATTTGTGATGCAGTGCAAGACAGTAAGGCCCAGTCAAAACATATGGTTTTAATTTTGTAGTGACTGCACTGTATGTATACTGCATACATGTTGAAATGTTTTACTTTCACTTTAATTGATTTTTGAAAAGGCTTTATCTTGGCAAGTGCTAAATTTGTCCATTTCACATTTTGTTCTTTCCACTGACACCAGAGATACTAAACACTCAGCATTGCCATGATGGATATATCTTGAGTGATTGTCATGCCACTGCTTCATGGAGCGATCCTGTGAGCCATGATAACAAAAACACTATATTTTTTTATTAGCTTAATTAACCAATCTTAATACAGTATAGTACAGTACTGTACATTGGTGTTAACTTAATTGTTATTTTAAACTGGCCAGATCCAGTACAGGAAGCCCTGAGATGCCTGTGTCACCATCAGCATCTAACAATACTTTGAAAAAAAATGGAAAAGTTTTCGTAACATAGGATTTTTCATATGTAAATTGTTGCCTGGGACACAATTTTTTTTCTCCATTACTCCAGATTTTTATAAACCGGACGTTTGTAAATTGGGGACTAGAGTACCTGTAATACTATACAGTGCTGTACATGTACACACAGGCCAGACTCTCATGATAATACTAATGTATACACACAGGTGAAACTTCCCCAGGATCACCAGCCATCAGTAGAACTCTGGCACCAGCTAACATTAACAAAATTGTCAAGAGGTGAGTACAGTGCTCTACAGTAGTATATGTAATTACCACAATTAATCAACCTAATGGCTTTTTTTTCAGTATTTCATAACAGTTTTGCATTTGTAATAGTAATATAAAACTCGTCACCATAGCCACATCCATTGCCCTCTCCCTACCACTCCAGGCCAAGTTTTGAGCTTTGTTAAGGTTATTTTTCACCTCGTAATTTTGGATATACAGTATACGGTATATAATTCCTCATAGGAGTTGATAACTGGCGGAAATTCAGTTTCATAATTGGTAACAGTGTTCATGTGTCGACTGTGGTGGTGGTCAGGGCCAAAACATGATGGTGTGAGTCTGGTGTCTTGCTACAAATTATGTTCAGGATTATATTCAGTATTTCTCAAAAACTACGGTCAAATAATACAAGAGATATATGAAAAACTCGAGCTTTTTTTGTTTTTTTGTTTTTTACCCCAAATCGGTACAGGGGAGTGTAGTCAAAATATAAGCGAGATCAGTTTATACACGAGTATATATATGGTACAGTACAGTATGTCACATCTGAATTTTTTTACTTTTTTCTATTGCTTACCTCATTACCAGTTCTTACGTCAGATTTATCCTGGTTCGTCTTTATTTTCCATAACAATAAACTTTTTCAATTTCTCAAGTGCCTGATGCGTGTTTGAGTTAGATGTTGTATGCATTTGTTTTATTTTTTACTGTGACCTTTGTATATTTTCCAATCTAATTTAATTTTTTTTGTGTGTGATAAATTGTCATGCTTTATGCTCAACAAATGTAGTCTAGCTGTCTTCTTGGAGTTCTCAGGACCTCATCTCCTAAACCCCCTCCCCCCTACTCTCCCCTCCCCTTCCCTCCCACCCTCGTCTCCTCTTCTTCCCTCCCACCCTCGTCTCCTCTTCTTCCCTCCCACCCTCGTCTCCTCTTCTTCCCTCCCATCCAGCATTATATTACTTTTTCCATCATTGTTTTCAGTTGTTGTCTTAGAATTTCCTTCAGCTTATCTTCTTTGTAGTCACCATAAATCTGGATGTTTTACACAGGTTCTTGACAGTGGTGCCTGAGGACCTGAGATCTACTACTAAGGATGACTTTGAGAGCTACATGGCAGATGCTCAGCGTCAATACAGGGACGTGTGCCGGGTGAGTTACTGTACCTTGAAAGGTTTTTATAATAAGAATTTGCATCACTGGATGATTAGCCCCAATGCTTAATTCACCCTGACACAAACCTAACCTAATTCACCTTAACATAACATTAATGTAACTTAACTGCACCTGATCTGACCCCCCCCCCCCAGATAGCTTGAAAATCTTGAAATTAATATAACTGTTAACAGGGTCCAGCCTTGTAAACACTTGTTCAAGAAGTATAACCAGGTTTAAAAACAGTCTTGGCCCACTAGGCATCAAATCTCTTGGAAGAAGATTCTCCTGAATTTGACTTGGTGCTCTTTTTACTTTCATAGTCTCACATCATGTACTAGTGCCTGCAATTACTCTATGTTTGTCCACATTTCTGTTTAGGTGATCTTTTCTGCTCCTTTAACTACTTATTATGCTTGAGGAAATAAGTGAACAGTTGGTCATACAGGGTATATTCTACAAGTATGTGTTACCATAGTGTATTTAAGTTCTGTGTATGATGAGAATTGTTAAGTGACCTGCCCTTAAATGAGTTACAACACTTAGCACATTAGGAGGGATTTTAAGAAACAATTAAAGCATATCTATGCATTTTAATGATGGCATACCTCTTCAAATCCCAGCATCTTAAATAAGATTTTTGACAATTTGAAAGTATTTAAATTGTTTTATATACTGTACTGTATCTCTGTTTCATCACCTTTTCTCTTTTAGTCATGTGCATCATTTGGCTGGCCAAGAGAAGCTGTAACACCAGAGTGTCCATCAGATTCCTCATCAACTGCATCTCGGGAGTCACGGGCTGAAGCAGAGGGAAACACATTCTATGAGGGACCGTTCCTCAGTATGCTCATGGATTTCCTGGAACATCTGCCTGATCAAGTAAGCAGTTCATGTGTTTTACTTTGTCTTGAGATAATTGTATCTGTATGTGTATCACTTTTTGCTCTCCCAGCCTCTAAAGGTAATATTAGATGGATCTATAATTTGTGAGTATGTGAATTAACTGTAATATGTGAGGATCTTTTATTGTTATAATAAGAAAAAATGCCATTTTGAGAGTAAGTTGATAACAATAAATATACATTTCATTAACCTGAGGTAAAACCAGCTATCTTTTCAATATGAACCACTTACAGTACTGTGTAAAGCTGCCCTCAAGTAATAAAGTAGTAATTTTTGTTTGTTTTATATTATCCACAGGACTATGACATCAATCTTCAGGTGACATCACTGGTAGCCACTCTAGCATTACTGCCACACCCACACCTCCATGAGTTCCTGCTCAACCCCACCATAACATTGTCAGGGGGCGTACGCACACCCTTCACCGTCCTCTCCTCTGTAGTGTCTAAAATTTATCAACCAATAGTTGAGCGCCAAGATTATCTGGATCATCTGAAGGTCACCCGATACCAGCTCTTGGGTACAATGGAGGAATTTGACTTTGAGTGAGTTCAGAAGTATGAAGGGTATTGTATGTACAGTTAATCAAAAAACTATCCATACAAAATTGTGTTAGATAATATGACACAACGAATGAAGGATTTTGACAACGTTACCTAAACAACAAGAGTCGTAGTGTTCATTCTGGAATTCATTGATCCTCCAAATACAGATAGTCCTTTGATCGACTGAACATTATGATATGCATGTCTTGTACATTCTTCTTTGACTCTTTTGTTATTGGAAGTTCCAGCTTCAGTAGTTATGATGATTGTAATAATTGTCTCTTTGGTAAGCTTGAAAGACTATGTAAGAAGATGTAAAGACAATTATTTTCTAGCATGCACACAAAACACCATTTGTCTGAGACCCCTTTTTATGTGATGGCTGTTTAGCATTTCACAAGAGAGCTGATGTCTTCCTATAAGAACCATCACAAATTAAATTTTTGTCCAATATTAAGAGTTTGTGTCAAGTACATCCTCTCATATCAGTAGTTGTTCATGAGTTCCACCATGAGAAGGAGAGTTCCTTTACGAATTTACTTCCTTTTTCCTCTTGTATTTAGGTTAGTCTTACTTTTCACTTAATATTCTCTTAAATACTGTACTTAAGAACGTAATGTGTATGAAAGGAAGACACTTCACGTACTGCTGACTAATGATATATAATTCAAGCTAAGTGGAATAAATTAATAAGATAATGAGTTTACTTTTGACTTTAACTTTGTAATGTTATTTTTCTCACAGGCGAGATGAAGATGAGCGGAAGTTTGAAGCATTGATTGTCATAGAAGAATTTACCAAGGAACTAGCATCAATTGCTTATGCAAAATACATCACTGAAGGCAGCGGATGGTAGTGTGTGATGTGTGTGTTGATGTACATTCCTGTTATAGGAGATGCCCGTTTGCCATAAATTTGGATGATTATAAGTTTTCACATAAGAAGTAGAGAACCATTTTGTTGGAAGGCAGAAAGAAGACTTTTGTTCCATAGTTCTGTATAATGTACGGTGAAGGTACAGTCAAAGAAAAAAGTCGTATTACACTTACCATGCCTTATGTTTTGAAACCCACGACGAAAAATTTGGGTCAAGTTCCCCATTAAGACTCGAAGCTTCACTGTCAGTTTACCCAGATTCTTTGTCGTGGGTTTTGGAACATAACGCTAGGGGGTGTAAACACAACTTTTGTACTTTGTACCTTTTTTATATCATAATAAAAGAAAACAATGTAGATTATTTTGAATGAAATTGTACTTATTAATAAGATTCTATGTTGTAATCTTCTTAAACTCAAAAGATCTGACAAATCATTGCATTAAGTTGCATATATTAAATATACACCATAGTATTTCTTATTATGAGCCAGGAGTTGTAATTTGTTACTATTTGGTTTGTTAGATTTATATCATGATAATGAAGAAGTAATTTTTGCTATTGTAATGTTTCCAAATGAAAAACATGTTGTAGGACTTTACAGTTGAGATGTTGAAATATACTATCATATATTCTCAGCTTTTGTGCAATAAGTTATAATATTGTGAATGAATTTTTTCACTGTAAGATCGGTGTACCCGTCCCACCAAGTTTAGAGAGGAGTGTAGTGAGGTGGCACAGTGTGAGGGATTGTTTTGTGAGTTATCGAGTGCACTGGTATACAGTACTTTTAAGTAGCTTTGGAAAGTTGAACAGGTTCCATGGTGCCTCTCTTCATTGATGGAATAAGACTGGGCATTAATCTGCTTCTTTAAACAACAAAAATAATAACTATATACAATATATATTTTTTGTAAGTCTTACTAAAATTCTGATTCTGAATCCATGTTAGGAGTGTATACTCTGGAGGTGTAACTGTGCCATAATATAAGTAAATCTGATTTTTTCTCTCTTCGTATTTCTCTGTGTTCAAGAAGAAAAGGGATGATCTGTACAACACAAATTTTTGTAAATACAGTAAACTCTCGAAGATCCAGATCCGGAAGATCCGGACAAAAAATTTGGGGGTTCTGGGCTAAGAAGCCTCCTAGAAGTTTCCCTAAGAAACATTCCCAAACCAGAGCTAAGAACAGTTTAGGCCCGTGGGCGCTGCTTGACCCGTCAGTTGCCTGGACACAGGTGCCCGAGGAGGTAGGAAACACAAACAGAGTTGACAATTGTTGTTTGTGGGAATATTATTTCATTCACTCTAATAATGATACAAGTTTCTTATTATGTCATCACAGGTAAATGCATGGTTTATATATGGTAATTTGTTTATCACTGCATTAGTACTGTATTTTGGTGTTTCTTATATCAATTATCATTCGCCGGAAAATTTGTACAATCGGTTTTTCCGGACAGGTGGTCCCCCGTTTTAGTTCGGATTTTCGAGGGTTCACTGAATAGCAATATTATACCAAACACTCGGAATATTTTATAATTTTGTATTTAATTTTTTCCATTGTTATTTAAAACACTGGTGATGTGTTTGTGATCTGTTTATTTGTTGTTTTTATTATGTAAAAATGCTGGTACTGTACTATATTATGTGCATTAATATGTAGAGTCAGTTATCCTTGGTGAGAGTAAGCCCCTCAGGTCAGCATGCCATTCAATGTACTGTACAGTTCTGGTTTAGTTAAGAAGTTGGTTTTTCTGGTGATTGGTCTCACTATTACGCTTTATTATGTACATATACTGTAGTCTGATTTTGTATATTCACGTCATATTTTATTATACATTTTATATTTATTTGATGTCAATGAACGTGTACTGTATGTAGGTGTGGGTGGTTAGGTGTTGACAAATCTTATTGTGGAGAATTTTGCCTGGATATAATAGTCATAAAAAATCTAGTCGACAGTGACAAATTGTGCAATTAGTCTATACTTATCTCTTGCCCCCCCACCCTCCCCTCCCCCCACCCGGTGCTAATTTATAAAGTGAAAAAAGAAGGATGAAAACCCAGAGTTTGTTTCATTACTTTTTCACACAAACTGTAGTTGCATAGTCACTTAAATCACATCTGGAAGTACCATAATGGACATATTAGTCCTGGTTTCAGTGCTGGAAGCACAAAACATACCTCATCATTAGTATTTTTAACATCTGGATTTATTGAAATAGAGGTCGCACATGATTGTTTTTAATTTAGTTTTTTCTTTCTGCCGGTGATTGAGGCATGAAGTATATCTTGGCTTTACAATATTAACATCATTCCAAATATTAATAATGTCTGTTGTATGTGCAGAGAAAGTTTATGTTCAGTGTTAGAGCATTGCTTGTGTGAGCACTGTCAACAATTTGGAATGGTCTTTTAGTCCCATATTAAGAAAAGATTCTCGGTTATCCAACTACTACTAGTTGTTGCTCCATTAATATTTGAGGCTCCTGATGTGTTACTATAGTACTTAGGTAATGGAAAAAGTATTAAATGGAGTCTGGTGTTAGAATGATGAGATATATTGCTGTTGTTAGGGAAGGAAACACTGATAGAGCAACATCAAGAGGAACTAATGGTTGCAGGAATGGCAGTCACTCCTTGACTTTAGAAAATGTTTATGGTGATATATATATAAGAATTAAATTTTTTCTAAATGTTGCTTTTAAAGTTTTGTTATTAATTTGTATAGGATTTTTTTTTATACATAATAATATAAATGAATAAATATACGTATGTTCTTTTGTATCAGTCAACTTTTTATCCTCTCAGGCTGTGGGAAGTAATATACTGTAATCTCAGGTTTCACTGATCTGTAAATAATATCATAGATATTGTTGAAAGTGAAATCCTGTTTTAGTATGGATAATATTGAATTTGAAATTCTTTTCTGGGCAACATAGAAATCTGAGATTTTATGTGGATGAAGTGGGACTGTGTGAGATCTGCTCTGGATAATATGAAATGTGCAAGATTCTGTATTGTAGCTCTGTGCTTCATCCTAATACAGATAAAGCTGGAATCTTATGTTGGATTATGTGGAAGTTTGATAGCATTGTACCAGCTTACTTCAGCATTAAGGTACAATATAGCAACTTACGTTACTGTGGCATCCAGCTTCAATATGCCTGATAGCAGCTGGGCCGACCAGAGCTGTCCCTATCCACTGGTCTCTGTTTCACTGGTTTCTGTACAAAGGGTACCAGGTGAGCATATCACAGGCCGGCACTTCAGCTTGATAATACAGGAATCCAAAGTTAGGTAACACCTTGAGAGGCTTCTCCATCATCAAGCACATAATACTGTGGCCAGCTTTAGTATCATGTTGCACATCAGGGCAACATTTTAGATGTAGGAGTTGATGCCCTGGAGTTTTAATCACCCTCTTACATGAAGAACCTGCAGGTAGGAATTATTCTTTTAACGGTAGTCTTCAACACCTAAATCTCTTCCATTTCGTGTAGGACTATCATAGGTAGGGTTCGTAAGCCTATCTAACTTCGCTGATGCATTAGGGTCATCTTATTCGTGTGGTTAGTATGCCACTGTCACTGGCAGGGCTCCTGAGGGAGCCATCGCCTCTGGCAGGGCCTCCAAGAGGGTCCTTGGGGACGCTGCCATTCCTGGGAGAGCCCTCGGAGCATCACTGCCCTTGGCTAGGCCCCTGGTGGCGCCACCGCCCATGAGTGGATCAATGAGGTGCAGAGGTTCCTGGGAGGACGCCACAGTCCCCAGGAGGTGCTTGCTGTGTCTGGGAGGGCCCATTGGGGCACCACCGTCCCTGGGAGGGATTCAGGGTCGCCACTGCTCAAGGCAGGGCTCATGGAGGCGCCACTGCCACTGGGGGCACTGCTGACCCTGAGGGCGCCACCGTCTCTGGCAGGGCTCCTGGGGGCATCACTGCCCCTAGGAGGGCCCTTGGAAGTGCCACCACCCCTAAGAGGGCCCCTGATGGCGCCATGGTCCTTGGGAGAGCCGCGATCCCTGGGAGGGTCCGCCGCCGCCCCTGGGTCTGCTGCTGTCCCTGGGAAGGCCTCTAGGGGCGCCACCGTTCCTGGGGCTGGCAGAGTCCCTGGGGGAGCCACGGTACCTGTCAGGTCCACCGCACCTGGTAGAGGCCCTTGGGAAGCTCCACGGTCACTGAGAGGGCCCCTGGAAGCTCCACGGTCACTGGGAGGGCCCCTTTGACTGCTGCTGCACCATGGGAGTGCCGCTGTCCTTTTGAGGGTCCTGTGGGGCGCCACTGCTGCTGACGGGTCCCCCGGGGCCCCAACCATCTTTAGCAGGTCCCTTGGTGGCGCCACTGCCCATGAGAGGGCTCCTGGGGTACCATGGTCCCTGGGAGCGCTGCGGACCCTGTCAGGGCACCCAGGGGCGCCTCTGTCCCTGAAATGGCCCCTAGAGCCGCCACCGTCCCTGGCAGGGCCCCTGGGGCCGCCACTGCCTCTGGCAAGGCCCGTGGGATTGCCACCGCCCTTGGTAGGGCCCCTGGGAGAGGCCTTGGGGGCGCCACTGCCCCTGGGGTCGAGACCACCCCTGGCAGGGCCCCCTGTGGTAGCGACCACCCCTGGGAGGGCCCCTGGGGGTGAAAGCGCTCCAGGCAAGGCCCTGGCAGCGCCTCTGTCCCTGGTGGTGCCATTGCTCTTGGCAGGGCCCCTGGGAGGGACCCTGGGGGCACCACCACACCTGGCAGAGGCTCTGAGGGGGCGCCAATGCACATGAGAGGGCCATGGGGGGCCTCCACTGCCCCTGGCATGGCCACCGCCGTCCCTGAGAGGGACACCGCCTCCTGTCTGAAGGCCCTTGGGGCCGCCACCTCCCCTGGGAATGCCACTGTGGACGCTGTTGCCTAAGGAAGGCCCCTGGATGCGCTTCTGCCATAAAGAGGGCGCGTTCAGGGGTCCTCTGGGAGGGTTCCAGGGGGGACCACCTTACCTGGGTGGGACCTCGATCCCCCGATGCCTCTGGGTGGGTTCCTGGGGCCTCCGCTGCCCCTGGGTGGGTCCCAAGGGCCCCGGCTACTCCTAGGAGGTTCCCTGCCGCACCTTGGAGGTTCACTGAGAGCGTCAGCCCTCTATGGTATTTGGGGGCAGTTGTTTTTGTGCTATTTAGAGCGCTGGGAAATGAAAATAGATCGCAAATCTATTATCGCATCCTTAACAACGGAATGGAGAATAATATCCAACAGGAAAACATAAGTTGGGGTGTTGTGCTGACTGACTGCTCTCTTCTCCTATTGGCTGGAATTTGGTGGGTATACATTTTACTCCACCAATCAGATTTAAGTATGGAACTGATGGACATATATAATATGTACCAAGGCACGACCAGGTATGCTATAGGGCCCCTGAATGCGGCCCCTGGAGTCCCAAGGGCCCTCACCCCCTGGAGGGCCCCCTGCAATCCCTGGGAGGGTCCCTAGAGGCACTGTCACACCTGGGAAAGTACTGCCCTCCACCGCCCCTGGGAGGACCTTAGCACACTCGCGCTTCTGGAGGGTTGCAGGGCCCTGCCGCCCCTAGGAGGGTTCCTGGGACCCCCGCCATCCATGGAAGGATAACAAGGTGCGCCTCCGTCCCTGGGAGGGTCCAATGAGTCCCAGCCGCCCTTGAAAGGTCCCTGACGCACCTGGGAGAGTCCCAGAGGGCACACCTTACCTGGGTGGGACCTCGGTCCCCCGATGCCTCTGGGTGGGTTCCTGGGGCCTCCGCTGCCCCTGGGTGGGTCCCAAGGGCCCCGGCTACTCCTAGGAGGTTCCCTGCCGCACCTTGGAGGCTCACTGAGAGCGTCAGCCCTCTATGGTATTTGGGGGCAGTTGTTTTTGTGCTATTTAGAGCGCTGGGAAATGAAAATAGATCGCAAATCTATTATCGCATCCTTAACAACGGAATGGAGAATAATATCCAACAGGAAAACATAAGTTGGGGTGTTGTGCTGACTGACTGCTCTCTTCTCCTATTGGCTGGAATTTGGTGGGTATACATTTTACTCCACCAATCAGATTTAAGTATGGAACTGATGGACGTTGTTACGACCGTGTCGTATTTTTTCCATTTTTTTTATATATAACATGCTCCCATGTTCCATATTATTCCTGTAATGATGTGTTAAATTTACTATTATATATTCTAGTCACCTTACCCTGTGTTGTTAAGGTTTTAACTGTCATTATTTGTTCAAGCCCATCTTGTTTCTTTATTTTGTATTGTAACCAGCATTCTTTGTTCTCTAACGACCATCTGCATCGTTAAACGACCCACCGGCGGGTCGCGTGGCGGGAGCCGACCTTATATATAGGACCCACCAACTGGCTTGAGTTAGTTCAGTTCTCTTGTCATACAGTGCACATCCTTTGAGTGTCACTTGTTACTTATACTTAATTTATTTGTGTTGTTCCTGTCGCCACCAATGTGGTATATCTATGTGAGTACCTATTTATGTCTCTGTTTGTGTCCATCAGTATTTGCTAAGTTGTATTCAAGTAATTCAGTGTTGTTTCACGTTTGTTAATTTCAGTGATAGTTTTTATATGTTTATGCAGTGTTAACGTAATCCAATGCTTTATTTTTATTCTTTTGATGTTTCGATGTTTAGTATCATTAGTGTCTTATAAGTTTCGATGGTGAATCAATTTGTTGTGACAGTCTACGAGGCTCTTTATTGTGTTAATATTTAATAAATTAAATTCTTAAAGGTTTACTTTATTTATTTTTATTCTCTTTTAATTTACTTCACTGTTTGTTTGGTTACGTCTAGAACCTGGATATTTAAGTAAATTAAGAGACGGCGTAACAACGTATATAATATGTACCAAGGCACGACCAGGTATGCTATAGGGCCCCTGAAAGTGCGGCCCCTGGAGTATCCCAAGGCCCCCCACCGCACCTGGAGGGTCCCAGGGCCCCATACCATCCCTGGGAGGGTCTCAGCAGTCCCGCCTATCGTGGAAGGGCTCTAGGGGCGCTGGCACATCTAGGAAGGTACCACAGGCCTCCAACGCCCCTGGGAGGGTTCTTAGTACCCTCGTAGCTTTTGGGAGGGGTGCAGGGACCCTGCCGCCTTTAGGAGGGTTCCTGGGACCCCCGCCATCCACGGGAGGATAACAAGATGCGCCGCCGTCCCTGGGAGGATCCAATGAGTCCCAGCCGCCCTTGGAAGGGTCCAGAATGCACCTGGGAGAGTCCCAGGGGCACCACCTTACCTGGTTGGGACACAGGTCCCCGCTGCCTCTGTTTGGGGCCCTGGGGCCTCCGCTACCGTTGGGTGGGCCCCAAGGGCCCCGGCTACTCCTAGGAGGTTCCCTGCCGAACCTTGGAGGTTCACTGAGAGCATCAGTCCTCTATGGTATTTGGGGGCAATTGTTTTTCTGTTATTTAGAGCGTTGGGAAATGCAACTACATCGCCAATCATCACATTTCCAGTATTATCGCATCCTTAACAACGGAATGGAGAATAATATCCAACAGGAAAACATAAGTTGGTGTGCTGACTGACTGCTCTCTTCTCCTATTGGCTGTAATTTGGTGGGTAGATATTTTAGTCCACCAATCACATTTAAGTAAGGAACTGATGGACGTATATAATATGTACCAAGGCACGACCAGGTATGCTATAGGGCCCCTGGAAGTGCAGACCCTGGAGTGTTCCAAATGCTCCGACCGCCCCTGGTGGGTCCCAAAGCCTCCTACCGTCCCTGGGAGGGTCTTAGCAGGTCCCACCTACCCTGGGATGGTCCCTAGAGGCGCTGTCACACCTGGGAAAGTATCGCGGGCCTCCACCGCCCCTAGGAGGGTCGTTAGTATTCTCGCCGCTTCTGGGAGGGTTGCAGGGGCTCTGCCGCCCCTAGGAGGGTTCCTGGGGCCCCCACCAGCCATGGTATGATTCCAGGGGGCGCCGCCGTCCCTGGGAGGGTCCAATGAGTCCCAGTCGCCCTTGGAAGGGTCCCCAAACGCGCCTAGGAGGGTCCTAGGGCGCACCACATTACCTGGGTGGGACCCAGATCACCCGCTGCCTCTGGGTGGGTCCCATGGGCCCCGGCCTCTCCTAGGAGATTCCCTGCCGCACCTTGGAGACTCACTGAGAGCGTCAGTCTTGTATGGTCTTTGGGGGCAGTTGTTTTTGTGTTATTTAAAGCGCCGGGAAATGCAACTACATCGCCAATCGTCACATTTCCAGTATTATAGCATCCGTAACAACGGAATGGAGAATAATATCCAACAGGAAAACATAAGTTGGGGGGTGTTGTGCTGACTGACTGCTCTCTTCTCCTATTGGCTGTTATTTGGTGGGTATTTATTTTAGTCCACCAATCAGATTTAAGTAAGGAACTGATGGACGTATATACTACACTGGTATAGGAGACGGTCAGAACAAGAAGGACTTTATGGAATTGTACCAAATTTTCACATGTTGTTTGGGTGATACTAAGTAAGAAAATTTTATGACAATGCACAGAACCCATTAGAGCCTGACCTAACCTTACCTAAGCCTGTGAAAAAGTAAACAAACTCGACCTATACTGTGAACACAATTAAATTTGCAGTAACATTTTCCTATTTGTTTCTGATAATTTTATTTTCATACTCTTATTTGGAAATGGGAAATAAAACTGGGTTAGGTTAGGTAAATCGAGTTTAGTTTTCGTTAGGTCAGGTCAGGTAAGCTTGTGTTTCACGTTGCTATATATATATCGTTGATCAGATAAAATTATTATGTGATTGTCTGTGTGTGTGCTTGTGTATATTAAGAACGTCAAGGCAAAGACGTCTCACTCTGCTGGTTACCATGGAAACATGAAACGCTACCCTCACGCGCCCCGGGCTTTTAGTTAGCCGCGTTGCTGACAGAGGCCAACAGAGCTCAGTGGCTCACGGGTTTTTTTTATCGATAAAGGTAGATGCTTTCCCGTCTTTCTTACATATTTTTTGCGTATAACTTAGCGGAGAAATCTCAATACAGCCTTTCTGAAGACTAAAAACCCTACATCAACTAAATACATCTCATGCTGTCTGTGGCAACCACTTCAACTGTTGGTCGCCAGTTTCTACAGCATTTCCTATAACAGTGTAATCGCTCATAGGAGTGATTTTGGTTTGTGCAGGACAATAAGACCCTTGTCGTTGACGCGATGAGTATAATTCGGTCAAAACCTGTTGAATACATTTCACATATAACAACTGCTGATACACCAGGACACAGTTTGAATAATACGATCAATATACAGTATATAATTACACTTATTAAAGTTATTTAGAGTTCTCAGAGGATTCAACAGTTCACAATCACACTCACGGTTAGGGGTCTAGAGTTAGACCAACGAGAACAAATCTAATGTCCTGCAGGAAGATATTGGCTGACGAGAATCAAGAAGTTGCCTTTACAGTAGAAGTCGATAAACTGTCCCTCAGACAGTCACACAGCTGCTACCAGCTCCATCTCGCTTAGTAAGCTATTCTGAGTTGTAAACAGTTTCTTACTTAACATGTGGCCGGCGCGCACAACTGTGCCTGGCGATAACAGCCAGGTTGTTGATATGTTATCTTTCTCTAACATTATTGCTATACGTATTTATTTTATCTCATTTTCTTCATCATGGGAAATGGTTGTTGTAATATTTTAATACATGTTCTGTTTATTTTGGACCAGACTTTTACCTCTGGGTATAAGTATGGGACCCAAACACAGTTCTTTCTTTTATCCTCTTCACCACTGATCGGCTCGCTAGCCGCCCGGGCGATCGGTCACGTCTCTGTCACGCACTGTTGGCAAGTACTTGGCATGCACCTGCTCCGGAATGTACCTGAACCCGCTCCAGTGTTGGTCAAGTCTTGTCTTGAAAGAGCTCACACTCGTTGCCGTCACAACACTTTCTGGTAGATTGTTCCAAGAGTTCACAACTCTCACTACGAAAAAGTTTGCCCTACCAGTTTTCCGGACTTGCGGCTTCTTCAATCTTGAGCTGTGACCCCTTGTGGGGCGAGCGTCCGCCAGCTCCAAGTAAGGACACTCGACTGAGTAGTGCCCCTTGAGAGGCTTGTAGGGGTATCGAGATATTAATGTTGTCTAGCACTCAGGATGGAAGGAAACTCTAATGTGGTTTTCTTATATAATATAAGTTATATGATAGACAGTCTGGTGCTGGAGGTGCCGTGTGGTGAGGGGCCAGCGTGGAGCTTGCTGGAGGAGGTGTTGCTTGTTCAGGAAGATGGGCAGAATGAGAGTTGGTTGGTGAGGAAGCTCAGAGAAGGACAGCTGGTGGGTCGCCATGCTCGCTGGCGGGAGCGAGGACCGCCAGGCAGGCGAGGAGGAGCGAAGGCAGCCAGGCAGCGGCGGAGGAGGAGGTGGTGTTGCTTGTTCAAGAAGAATGGTCAGAATGAATCTCAATGGAGAGACAGAGCTTATATACCCAGCAGCCGCTATGAGTCATGTTGGGAAAACCCGAGAAGTCGCCGGTCTTTTGGTTCGGTTGCTAGGATACGGTGACATTGGAATGCGGATACGCAGTTGTAGGGGAGAAGTCCACTACAGGCTTATACACCTCAATTAGGTCACCCTTGCCCGTCTGTAGTATAAGCTAGGCAAGTTCAGGCGCTCCAATCTCTCAGGGTAGTTGAGGTGCCGAAGTGCAGGCACCAGTCTGGTGGCCCTCCTTTGAACATTTTCAACCAACTGACAGTCCCTAGCATATCTTGGGGACCAGTCGGGGTGACAGTACTCCAGATGGGGAAGCACTTCACTCTTGAAGATCGTTACGAGGGACGGACCGTCTAGTTTAAACTTATTAAAACTTGTGCATAGTGGGCAATCACTGCTCAGTTTTCAGCGTTCCTTAACAGAAGCAATACTAATTATTGTTTGATACAGAAGCTGAACTATGATGAGTGATCTTTAAACAATGTTTAACAGATGGTCCATCGGATACTTTAAATCCTATGGGAAGTGTTGGTGGTGCTGCTAATGGTAAATGTATTTACTCACTCTTTTGGTTGATATATTAAGCAGATTAATTTAAAGGGAAATGTGCTTGACTATTTGCCTATACAGGAATTAGAATGCGCATTAAAGGGCTTAAAACTACCAGTAAAAATAGTCATCTTCAATAAATTTATTTCCAGCATACTTCAGCCATCGAAATTATGGGCATGAATTAATTCAATAATTTAGCAGTAATCTAGCAGATACGTGTTACAAGTGAATACTTTTCATAAGTTGTGCATACATTTCGATAATGCTAAATATTTAAAATTTACTGCAGTACATATACCACTCCATATGTCCACTAGTGATAAATCAGCACCAGGTAATGGTAAATGTTTCACCGTATAATGTAGAAATTTTTAATTTGGACATCCAACATTACTGACCTAATCGCATGCAACACACTGTTGTACAAGTATATGATTGTCTTAAGCAGTTTTGTTTTACATGGCTACTTCTTGGTTTTGCTTATACTATGTGCAGTACTGGTTATTTTTCTTTGCAAGTTATGCATGAATGCCTTTTTCTTTATTTGGGATATTTAAGAATGTGTATTAGTAATTGTTGTGCACTTGTTTATGTTACGCTTTAATTGTTGCTGCTTCTGGTTGTCATGGGTATGTACAGTATGCCTTTTTAATTTAACAATGTTCATGTTCTCTGTAAATGGTTCTTACATTTGCTGTCATGAACTGATAAAAAATATGTAAAAATGAAATATGATTATTAGACAATAAAGGTAACGTAGCTATTCAATTTGATGTAATTAATTACTGTAGAACATGTAGCACATTTAAACAAAAATGAAGTGTTTTGTAGTCTGGATATGAAGAGGAGAATGACTTGAGACTTCAAGAAATGTGCCCTTAACATAATCATAACAAAAACATATCGTACTTTTTTCCTGTGACTTTGTTTCTGATCACCAATAGGTTGACCTTAGTGGGGGGGGGGACCAATAGGTTGACCTTAGTGGGGGACCAATAGGTTGACCTTAAGACAGTGGGGACCAATAGGTTGACCTTAGCAGAAGTACAGTGGGGGACCAATAGGTTGACCTTAGTAGGGGGGGATGATTATATAGGAAATCCCTCAACTTGATCATAAGAGGAGGCATTACCAGGATCTATGGTCTTATGTACAATAATAATTAATGTATAATAAATAAATCTAAAGGAAATTTTGTATACTGTACATAGATATATATCGTGGTTTCGCTAAATATTAATTTTCTATCATAGTGCACCATTAAAAGGTAAAGAAACTCGTTCTCTTTCTTAGGGTTGGGGACTAGATGGTGGGCTATGATGTGGCCTCGGCTGGGAGTAATGTACGAGAGACTCTTCCTCCTATACACTTTCCTTGGTGTTGATCAGAGTTGCCAACTTAGCGACTTTGTAGCTAGATCTAGAGCTTTTTGTTTTTTTCTAGCGACATTTTAGAGCGATTTGCGACTTGTCTCAAATCTAGAGATATCCACAGAAATCTAGCGACTTTCTGGATACTTTTGGACTGTCCATGAAAACTCGGTTTTCCTAATTTCGAGCCATAATATATAGCAACGGGGTTACAGGGACAATACATTTGAACGGGTTGAACTCATAAAACAACTTCGTCAACGCTTACCTGACAACATTCGTGTGCTGCAGTCTATTTATTTTCTGAGTGCCGATGAATGCTTGAAGCCTATTAAATCAGATATACTTGGTTTGGCACACTTATTTACAGAAGATTCCAGCACCCTTACCAAGATTGATTTCCAGTGGAAAAAACTGCATCACACAATCTGGACAGAAACATTTAACACCCTAAAATTGTGGTCAGAAGTGGCAAATTAAAGAGATGCGACAGGTGAAAACCCTTACCATGATCTGGCTGAAATTGCACTCGCTGCCTT